CAAGGAACGAAGAAGGAATGATCCTGATTGGGAGAATGCGCAGTGTTGGGAGAGAATGCTCGTTGGCGGGGAAAGGGATCGAGTTTAGGGCGACGGGTGAACAAGGAGGGTCAAGGGCGAGAGGGGTAGAAGCAGATGCTCATCGAGTCCCCGCTGTAAATGTAGATTATGCTCGCGCCCTTAATTTGTGTGCGTGCATATGTGAACGCACTCTGGACTTGGCCTTTTCTAAGGAGAGGATTGAAAAGCGTCCAAGGAGATGGCCGTCCGTGTGATAAAATTCGCCAGAATATATTTATAACCGCGATACTGCTATCTTCTTCGCGAAATCTGCCTGTGCATCTCGCGTAAACGCCGTGCTCACGCAAAGTTGCACCACTCGGTTAATAAACCACTCAGTATTAATAAACGAAGCAACGTACGGATCTGATCGCGGATTTACGCGAGGAGATTAAGCGGATTTTATTCCAAATAATCGTATATTCTCATGCACATTTTATTATATAAATCTTCTACATTTTAAATCAAAGATATCAAAAAAGTCAATATTTAAAAATTTTTTTATATCTATAAAATACTACTTTTTATAGTTGCTATACTATATTTTTAAGATTTGATATTGAATACATGCGAAAGAAATTTAGAACAGTTTTTACGACAGAACGTATAAAGATTGAGACTTTTAATTTTTTTTTTAAATAGACTATTTTTAACATTTTAAAGGATCGATCTTTTTTCTATTAAAATGAGTCAAACATGGGAGGAAACTAAAATTCTGCTTAGATCGTACGGCGTCGCGATTTGTATATTTTTCCGACATCGATGGAAGGTGACGCACCCTCTTTCATATTTTAAGTATGTGGGTTTTCGACATGAGCCATTATAAGTTCGAGGACGCGCGCGCGAGGCGCGTGCACGGGAGACGGAGAAAGAAAGGCCGAGAAAGAGGTGGCGGTACACGGGAGTGAGAAAAAAACGGAGAAAGAGAGAGAGATGGAGCGAGAGGCAGGTGCATCACGGTGACACTCCCTCGATAATTCTCCGGAGAGAGAGAGAGAGAGAGAGAAAGAGAGAAAGAGAGAGACGGTGGTAGGTACACACGCTAAAGAAAGAAAGAGAGAAGAGGACCTAAGTCACGAGTGTTGTGTCTGGAGATCGTTTATAGTCGTTCGCTTAAACTCTCGCTCCGAGGAAGGAGAGTTTCGAAAATGGCGTCGATGGACCCAGGTCGGAATGTTCAGCGTGGCAACCTTCGCGATGCAATGATACGAGATATCTCAAAAGAGAATCATAAAAATGGCGATAATTAGATGGATCTCTTACGTAGAATACGTGTGTAAAGCAATCTTATTTTTGGGAAATAATAAAAAATAGCACGCTGACAAGAAGAATGCAGATGAATATATATTTGCGTTTTCGAGTAAAACAAATTTGATTACTCTGAGTGCCATTAATAACGTCATAAATACTGTCTTAAGTCATTAGGGATATACTTATTTATATTAATCAAATTCAAAATTCATTTTCGGTCGAATATATATGTTCATGGAAAATTGAATTTAATCGCTCTCAGAGTAATCAAATCTTGCTTCACTCGAAAATGGTACATCTCTCTATTTGAAATACAGATATTAAATATCTAAGACACGATAAAAAATATCTGACGGCTCGCTAAAGAATTAATGATCCGATCAGCACACGGCAGTCCGCGACGTTCGATCGATGCTATACGTGAATCATGTGTGTATATGTTTGTTAAACTATATTTTATCAAGCTCGCTACCACTTCCTGAAACAAACTCGTACTCAGGTAGATTTACTCGTGAGTCATAGAGGGTACGCGATAATTTTAGATTCTAATCGACTATTCGGTTCAGATACCATGTTTTCGCTGCATTACGCGTAATTTCAAATCAGATTATTTTCTCGGCGCAGACGCGAATGTTTATCTTTGCCAATGGATTCTCCAAGATGCATCCCACCGCCGCCGTGGCGAAATGCAGCGCGAAATAATTTTCGAAACGCCGTCAGATTTATGAAACAGAGACGAATAATAAAATGTTTATTACTCGTGTTTTATATCTCTATTTGTATTATTACGTTATTACGTTGCATATTTGTAACATTTTAGTCGAGTGGAACATCATACGCAGGAGGAAAAAAAAACTGAAAGATACGGCAAGTAAGTTTTCTCGAATGAGAGAGAATTAAAACGTATACCGGAAGTATTTTCGGTAAGTAGGGTGGATGCTATTTTCGGATACCCTTGCACTTGAACCCTGCGTCAACCCTCGACTCTCTAGGACACTACACAAAATGAAGCAGATGGATGTTGTATTATACAATTTCTTTTAATGACAGAAGCGTTTTTCCGTATTTATTCCCTCTTTGTGTATAATAATTAATAAATAATAAATTACACACATTAATACTTTTACTGTGTTATGTATACTACCGTTCTCTACGTTGGAACCAATTGAACCGAAATTTAATACGAGTTGTTTACAAAATAGCAAATCGAGCGATCGTGCCGTGAATTGAAGGCTCGCGACCGTCGTAATACGGCTCGTTAAGTTATGATACGCATAGTAATATGAACCTTAATAATACAGTCGCGGTGTAATACGGTCTGCGGCGAGGCCTCTTCAACGCAAAGCGACAATCGTCGAGATTAACGGGCCGAAACAAACCGACGACAAGTCAACTGTCTCATAGTTATCAAATTATGAGAAACGAGACTCGGTGAATCTGACACCCGGTAGAAACATTCGAGCGTAAATAATGAATCTCATCGATTTTATCGTAACGGTTCTCCGATGAAAATATTTCATCTTTTGTTGTCCAAACCAATCTTGATCGATATTGAATAATTTTATACGAAATGAAATGTATGTGTGTATGTGTGTGTGTGTGTATTATGTTTAAAATCATCAGTAATATATTAATAAAAATTATATCATTTATGCAGTACTTGAATTAAAGAATAGAAAATATAATTCAATATACATATAATTATCTTGTGTTTCGAGAATTTTGGAAAATTTTGTGAGAATGTTATCGCGTAAACATCTATGCGTAAAGAATTACGAATTTATTTTGTTACGAAATATTACTCTTTCTTTCGAGCCGTCCTACAAAGTTTTATAGAAAAACGCAATGCCGCGATATAAATTATATTTAACCGAATAACCGGGGCACATATAGCTCCCGCAGCATTTCAAAGGAATATGGGAACGCCTCGGACGGGGCGTCTAGAAGGCGTTTTTGCGGTCTCTCCGAGCCGCTCGGCTGCGCCGAACTTAGCCTACGAGAGAGGGCCTACAGCGGTCGTCTTCCAAACAACGTCTCAAACCAAACAAACGTTTGAGACTCAGTTACCAACTATGCCGCGGACGACTACCGCGCAAATACATCTTCTCGCGCCCTCCTCTAAATCGTAATTTCGAATTGCTTTGTACGCTCTGAAACGATAATAATTACCACGGGAATTTCGCGGCTTCAAAAAGCACTGTCATATGTTATTAAAATAGTTCTACGTTGTCCAAGTAGGTGTAAATATACGAAACATGATTATATAAATAGATCAAGAAAGAATACATTTACATTTCTTACAAATAAAATGATTTCTAAAACAATTTTGATGAGAATATTTATTTATAAAACAGGAAAAATGATTTTATCAACATCTTTATACATATATATATATTAAGACTATTTCTTTTTGTTTTATAAGTAAATATTTTCATCAAAATTGTTTTAGAAATCAATTACATATATATATGTTTTAACTTAAATAAATATTTTAATCACGAGCCTTTATTTATTTTTAGCACTTATAGCGTTTTGTGTCAAGTTTTTATGTAGTTGATAAATAGCAAGTAAATATTATTCATCGTAAAGGATGAATGATTCCTCTATCTGATAATAAAAATACTTGGTACTTAAAAACTAGAACTTGAACTGGAATATATGACACGTGCTGCGACGATCGAAAATCCACAAAGAATGAGAACCACTTTCGCGAGGTAACGCACAACTCGCGGCACGCAACGGCGCATCGCTCCGTGGCTGCTTCTCTGGCAGGTGTATGAAGCGAGAAATAAAAGAAAAACGGCATATCCTCTCCGCGCGGAGGCTGACCGAGAGAGCGAGCGAGGGAGGGAGGAAGGAAGGAAGGGAAAGACAGAGAACTCGCGAGAAAGAAGGAGAGAAAAAAAAAAAAGGGTTTCGATTTATGGACTCTCCTGCATTACATTCGAGCGATTAACCACTAACGATTCGTACGATCGCGTTGACGTCCCGGCACGTGGAACGAATGTATGCTAACGGATAATCCGATCGCGGCATCGCGACGACGATCGTCTCTTTCCCGGAAGTCTCCCTGTCGGCGTTCACCCTCGCATTCATACGATCATACAAGGCATACATACTACACGCATACATATACACATATACACATATACATCGCTCAACACTGTTGCATATGACAGCGAACGACGACGTAGGAGCGTCTCTCTGGCGCGTCTAGGTTATGTTATTCGCATTCCGGCGCGGCGCGGCGCGGCACCGCGATGCACGCGAGGGTGAAAACTCGCGCCGACGAGGACGAGGATCACGGCATCGGTGAGAATAATCACTGGGCGCGAGGAACACGAGACAGAGAGCCGTTGCTCTCGGCGCTAGTTTCCGTCAACGGGGCAGCACTGTCCAGGGCACTAACAAACGAACCAAAACACAGAACGGGGTAGACCAAGAGACGGCCCGTCATCGACAATTCTCGTACGATTCTCGGCGCGATCGCGAGTTCGATCGACCGATTGAGAGACGCGAGAGACGGACTTTAAATACGTACCGGATGAGATACACTAGACACATCAGAGAAGACAGATATAGAGCGAGAGGGAGAGAGACGTTCGTCGCTTTATTTTTCACACGAGCCACGCACGGCGCGAGTATCCCCGTGCGCGATATACACGGCACTATCGACGACGCACACTCACCAGGCTGCTTGTTGGCGATCTTATTGAAGCAGTTCTGAAAGACCTCGTAGAGATGCATCGGCTCGTCGTCGCTGGCCGCCATGTTTTCGCACGAGACGTGAAAACGAGTGGACGTTCCGTGGTCGAGGCGAGTGGGCACGGTTTCGCGGTGCGGCCGCGCGCGGAGCCACCCTCCTCCCGCTACGATCACCCACACTACTGAAGCGTGCAGCTTCACGGACGCGGCTCTTATACGGGCGCGGCTGGCGCCACCTCATGTCCGCGCTTCAGCTTGAGCGCCGCCACGCTCGCGGTTTGCGCGCCGCCTTTCAAACGCAGCGAACGATTCAACTTGCTCTTCTTCACTGAATTTAATTTTCTACACTGAAAACACAAATATACATATCTTATGTTAATTAAGCGATTTGAAAAGTTTTGTAGATTATATTATTTTAATTTCTAAAAATAACAAAACGTTTTTATAAAAAAAGACAAACTTTCAAAAAATTTAATAGATTGTAATGAATTCCCGCCGTATCGCAACGAATAACTTTTCGAGGATAATTTTTTTTCCACGACAATGTTTACATCAAAATCTTTTATTCACAATTCGGGAATAATAATAATAATACAGAATAAATTTTCAATGTATTAAAACTGTATTAGTTACATACAACAAGCAGTATGGAAATTTATAGTACATAATATATAAGATTCGAATCGCAGTGTTGAATTAATTGGCAAAATGGATGAGAGAAATATAATTCGAATATTATTATCGATTAATTAAAGTAACTTACACCAACGTAATATTTTTATATCATATTAAGTAAAAAATATAAAAATATTTTATATATAAAATATATGCAAAAGATAGAGAATATTAATATCAATAAATAAACACACATATATAATTTTCGATCATATAATAAGTTGCGTATTAACAGCATCAATAAATAATGTCAACATTATCTAAAATATATTATGTCACAAACATGTATATATTATATTTGGAGTTGCTATTTCAAGCAAATTTCGTTCTATCTTAAACTCCATCAAAATCGGAATTTTGTGGAATAGGATGTGATATGTCCTCATAGTCCTGCCGGCCATAACCTGTAAATAAATGAAACAAAGTAACATACAAACTAATCTTTTTTATGAAACCATTACGAAACAAGAAATTGCTGCTGCTAGACACTACAATTTCATGCAACATAAATTCAGGCACAAAGCAGTCCTAAGGGAAACAGAGTATATATAACAGAGAGTAGATAATTATAACAAGAAATAGATATCTCTAGATAATTAAAAACCGTTGATTATTAACCAATTCACGAATTATAAATTGCAATAAAGCATACAATTGTCACGCACATACTTAAAATCAGATCTTGACGAAGCACTGACGCAATACAAAAAGCGTAGATGTCTACCCAGTGATTTACTGACCCATGGCAGGACTCGGTGCGAATACTGTGGCTAAGCTGCCGTTTCTCGCCTGGCCTATTCGCAGCAGATATATACTCGAGATAGGACGAGCAATCAAATTTAAGATCATAAGAGCTGCGCTAAATTTATTAGCTGCACCTACAAGTTGGTCCAATTAGATAGATACATGGTTTGCATGAGATAATCAGTAAACAATTAATATCTTACTTCCTTTTTTTATCTTTTGTTAACATGGAAAATGTATTTGTATATGTTCATATATACGTTCAATATATAAATTATACTTACTGAAGTCTGAAGGATAGTAAACTGATAAAGTCACCACATCGAGAAATATAGAGAGCACATTTATAAAAAGTGCCTATAAGAAATGTACCGTAATAACTAATTTCAAATTTAAAAAATCATTTTTTTCTTTCTGTGTTTTTAATAACTTACAAATTGAAGTGGTTCATCTGACTCGATACTATGAACAGCCCATAATATACAAACAAAGAATAACGAATTATAAAACAGCACAGATTGTGGACACCAACTTCCTTGAATACTCCTATAAAGTATTTCACACAGATTGTAATAATGCGAGGTTTTTTTAAATAAATGAATGCAAAATACATTGTATCACGAAGCAAGTTGTTCTTACCATGTTACAAGTACCAAATGTATTGCAAATATAATCTGGAAAAATATATAATAAAAAATAATATATAATAAAAGATATTTTACTTTTGTTATTATAGAAATTTATTAAAATTCATACATTCATAGCTTATAAGATTTTATGAGTCATGAAGCATTAGAAATTCATAAGGTACGAATTTACTCATATTTTTCAAAAAATTGACGATAGATTGCATACAATGACATTATATTTATGAAAACACTGAAAATGCGCACATTGAAATAAAACAGAATGAAATTAATACTTTATTTACATACCTTTAAAGGAAAATGAGATAAATTGGTTATATTAGGCATTTTCGTTGCACGTGACTATAACTATATAACGCGACAAAGTAAAGACGAATTATAACACGATTAAAATATATTTTTCTGGCTGTAGTGGAACACTGTGGAGCACTATCTAATCTATTTTTCCGCCTACAAAACTTTAGTTCGATAACGATGCAAAATATTTATATGTACTGCGTATATCAGCTGTGTGGCGTAGCACCTTTTACAAGTATTGCCATCTGACATTTCCTCATCAAACTATTGTAAAATTCGAAACTAATTTCGCAAAATCGTTCAACGTTCAATCAGTATTATTTTAATAAAAAAATATTAGAATTGCAATCTTGAGTAATATATAGAAATAAACACGATCATGTATATTTGTCCTACCTAAATATCTTGAAAAGAAAAAAAAGAAATATATATATCGTGTATTTTTCTGTCTTTTATAACGTAACAGACAAGGAAAGAAGATCAAACTCTTCTATATCCGTCTTTGTCACTCTTAATTCCGCATTTATCGCCGGATTTATCTCTCTATTTTTATGACGAATGCAAGAAATATCGTTACAGCAAATTATAGAACAACGAAATGTACATAAATACCTGATTATAGTCGTACATCAATTGCATTTTCGCTGCATTTTGGCGAGAAAATAACGGAGTGAAATATATGTCGGCGCTGAGGGAAGGGGAGAGAATTTTGCTCGATTTCGGGCACAGGCAGTTCAGCGATTGTACGCGATGATCAACACGTTACGATAAACGTTCGACACTCACGGAACACTCGCGATTAATTCTCGCGCGCGAGATTCACTTTTAGATGATAATCGCGAGAAACACAGAGCGATCTAAATCCGACCTTGCGGTCTATCGCGGCGCGTGACGTCACTGACCCGCGCAAAATCTATCGAAAAGCGCACAGATTGCGATTCTCGAAGTAATGCAATCGACTAATCGATATGAGACATGCTTCAGTTCGATACTGTCGATAAAATCGCTTTGTCTCTCTTGCACAGCACGTTTAGATATAGCGTCCGTGCATTTACATTTTAGACTTTAGACTAATTCGATTGTACATGGAAGTCTCGATATATATTTTATTATATACATATACATAAATATACATATACATATGTGGATTACGCTGATTAGATAATGCCATAAATTATAAATAACTTTTGAGTATCTTTTCATTAATCTCAAATTAAGTTATAGGTTATAGCACATGTTGATTGTTGTCTATTGATAATTTCTTTGCACGTTATATTGTGATAAAAAAATATTTATACATAATGTTATACAGAAGTCGTTATATCCTGAGGCAATTTCGGCCTTTCGTGAGACTTTATCATGAAGAAGCGTCTGTTATTGGTAGTACACCAGATTCTAGCTCACCAATGTATCAGGTTAAAAAATATTATATTTGTGTATTTCATTGTTTTTTTTTTGTAATTCTTGTGTTTCTCTCTCTCTCTCTCCCTCTCCCTCTGATAATAATATATTTCGTAATTTATAAAACTTATATGTATATGAAACTGTTAGCATCCGATAAATATACAATACTAGCATGTATATTGGAATATAAATAAATATAGTATTTATTTATAAATATTTTAAATATTGTTTTTTTTTTATATATTGCACAGGAGAATTATGCACAAATGAAAATCCTTATTGATCAATTAAAAAACACTGTGGAGAAAATAGTTGAAGGTGGTGGACAAAAAGCGAGGGATAAACATGTAAACAGAGGGAAGCTTTTACCTCGGGAAAGAATAAATACCCTTCTAGATAAAAATTCACCTTTCTTAGAGTTTTCACAACTGGCAGGTTATGAGATGTATGATAAGGAAGAAGTACCAGCAGGTGGGATTATCACTGGCATTGGGAGAATAGAAGGGTAATCCAACGACAAAGTTACTATTTTAATCTTTTTTAATATCATTTTTCATTCATCATTAGATATCTTTCTTTTTAGTACTAAATGTATGATAATAGCAAATGATCCTACTGTAAAGGGTGGAACTTACTATCCTATATCGGTTAAGAAGCATTTACGTGCTCAAGAAATTGCGGAAGAAAATGAATTACCTTGTATATATCTAGTTGACAGTGGAGGTGCAAATTTGTCTAGACAGGCTGATGTATTTGCTGATAAAATGCATTTTGGCAGAAGTTTTTATAATCAAGCAAACATGAGTGCTAAAGGAATAACTCAAATTGCAGTGGTTATGGGAAGTTGCACAGCAGGTTTGTCATAGCTATATTATTGATACATTCTTACTTTTTTATATTTTATGTACAGGTTTATCATATATAATCATATGTTATAGGTGGTGCATATGTTCCTGCTATGGCAGATGAAAATATTATCGTCGCTAATCAAGGCACGGTATTTTTAGCCGGTCCACCGCTGGTAAAAGCTGCAACCGGTGAAGAGATTTCAGCGGAGGATTTAGGAGGAGCTGCGCTTCATTGTCGGTAATTATTTCAGATACTATATTGATCTCTTATAAGAATGCTGACTTATAATCCTTAAATTCCAGACAATCCGGCGTCATCGATCACTGTGCAATAGATGACACTCATGCTTTGCATCTGGCACGTCGAATCGTGAAAGATCTAAATCGGCAACCACCTATGGATGTAAAAATCAATAAAAATATTGAATTGCCTATACACGCCGTCGATGAAATCTATGGCATTGTTGGAACAAATCTGAAACGTCCGTTTGATGTGAAAGAAGTTATAGCAAGGATCGTGGATGGATCGAAATTCCATGAATTTAAGACACAATACGGTGAAACTTTAGTCACGGGATTCGCTACAATTTACGGCTATCCTGTCGGCATTGTCGCGAACAACGGTGTATTATTTTCCGAAAGTGCTCTGAAAGGCACTCACTTTGTGCAACTTTGCGCTCAAAGAAAAATTCCTCTTATCTTTTTGCAAAATATCACTGGTACAATTATAAAGTCATTAGTGCGTTATTTTGTACTTTAATATGCGTTCTATTCAATCATACAAATTCATCAATATAGGATTCATGGTGGGTAGAGATGCAGAATTGGGAGGTATCGCCAAAAATGGTGCTAAAATGGTAACAGCAGTAGCCTGCGCGCAAGTACCGAAGATTACAGTAATAATCGGAGGTTCTTATGGAGCTGGAAACTTTGGTACTTTTTATTACTCTAACTCTATTTAAATTATTTCTTGAAGAAAAAAATGTAATATATCAATATATGATAGGAATGTGTGGCCGATCTTATTCTCCACGTTTTCTTTATTCTTGGCCAAATGCTAGAATCTCAGTAATGGGAGGAGAGCAAGCAGCTAATGTATTGGTGCAAATTGCAAAGGACCAACGTGTGAAAGAAGGCAAACAGGTATTATTCAATTTTTGTTTTTTTTCTTTTCCATATACAGAAATTCATATATAT